CATTTCGGGGTTTTCGGGGCAAAATGGCAGAATGAACAGATGTGCTGAGCAGACCCTCTGCATCAAGGACCTGGGAGACCAAGTGAAACAGATATAGATGGAGATACTGGTACCCAGAGCTTCAGAGGATAGAACAGAGAGGTGGATTGAGTGCCAACTGGGAGAGGAAGCTAAACAAGTGCTGCAAGAGAAAAGAAAAGCAGATGGGCTGCTAGCTGGCCTGGAGCGGTGCAGCCATCTTGAATTTTTGTTGGTGACTATTGATGTAACAGCCTGGAGGCACAAAACATTGCTGAGGTTGAAGGAAAGGATTGTGCAGTTCTCCCTGCTTTTCTGGTAGCCGGGGGCATGGGCAGTCCCTGCCCTTACCAGTCCAGCAGCCAAATGACACCCTGTCCTGTGCAGCTGCTATGCTTCCTGGATTGGGCTCCAAACATACCACCCCTGCGTCAGGAGGCATGTGAACCTGCCCTGAATTATGCTATAAGTAAACATCCAACAGAGAACTGCGTTCACTCTTCCAGTCTCTATTACATCAACCAGGAGACAAGTTGGTGAGTGCCTGAGAACACACCAATATACAATCATCAAATGAATATAAATTCAATGACACTCTGTCTTGGAGAAAACAGACAATTTCAGCTGAAAAGAAACAAGAACAGGGGTCTCAAGCAAGTGACCAAAATACAGAGACAGAAAATATAGTATCTCAGAAGTGGTATCAGAACTACTTGATAAAGAATTTAAAGAATAATATTTAGTACCTTCAATGGACTGAGAAAACCACTTGAAATCAAGATTAAAAAAAAACAACTTCAGAATTCAGGAAAATACTACAAGAACAAACTGACAAAATAAGTGAAACATTGGAAACCAAAAACACAGCACTTAGAAAACCAGATTAATGGTGTAACTTCAAAAATGGATAATAAAAACTATCACATAATTCACAATTAAAAAATGGATAATTGAAAGATCAAAGAAGTAGAATCAATGGAAGGACAAATTAGTGAGCTTGAAGACAAATTTCTCAATATTCACCTACTAGAGGAATTATCAGAAAAAAGGTCCAAATGAAGTCTCAGACCCATAGAGAAAGCTATTGAAGGGGATTTGAAAGAAGAATTCCTTAGCATCTTGAAAGATAAGAAAATATGCATTCAAGAAGTTGAATGAGTTCCATACAGGAATAGGCCCCAAAAGAAAATCACCAAGACGTATTTTAATCAAACTTCTCAAAACCAAAGATAAGGAAAGAATCCTGAGAGCACCTTGGTAGAAAAAGTTGCCTACAAAGGAGAACTAATAAGACTAGGCTGTGATATCACAAAATAAACTATATAGGCAAGAAGACAATGGGATGATGTATATAAAACTCTGAAAGAAAAAAATTTGTCAACCAAGAACCGTATATCCATCAAAATGACAGTGAAATTAGGATATTTCTGGATACACAGAAATTAAAAGAATTCGTAAGAGCCAGACCAACCGTACAAAAAATGTTAAAGGGAGTTCTTTGGACTGAAAATCCAAAACAGCAGCCAACAATTTGAGATTAACATACATGACGATCTCACCCAGAACTCAACCCAGATATGTTGTTGTTAAGTGCTGTCAAGCATTCCAACTCATAGTGACCCTGTATAGAGTTTCAAAGAAGTGTCTAGAGGGTTTGAACTGCCAGCCCTGCATGTAGCAGTCCAGTGCTTATCCTACCATGTCACACCAGAAGTCCAACTCAGATGTAGTTTATGGTTAAGACTCGGGTTAGTGGTAGAGGCTGGATTGGGGCTAGGAGTAAGTAACGCTTGGTCTAGTTTATTTTTTTTGACATTTGTATGATTTCCTCTTCATTTGGAAGTTATGTAATTACATAATTACTTTTTTTTACTTAGTTTTTCTTGTTGTTGCAAACTGGTATCTCTGGTTCCTTATTTTCAGTCTTGTAAAGCCTTTTTTTTTTTGACACTTCTACTATATTTCTAACCCAGATAATAAAAGTATTAAAAATAAGTTCTTAAAGTTGTATTTCTATATGCCAGTTGCAAACAAAAGTTATTTTTAAAGCATATGTACAGGAGCAACAAGAAACACTAAGATACTTAATAAACAATCTAATCAAGAAAAAAACAAACACCCTAACTGTAACCCTAAAACCTATACCAAGTTCCCTACCCCTAACATCAGCCCTAGTCTTAACCATAAACCTAACACTAAACAAAGTCTTAGGCCTGGCCTAGACTAAGCTATGTTCTTATCCTAACTTTTTAATCCTAGCTCTCCCAGCCCCCAAGAAAGATTTAAAAAACAAATAACAACAACAAAAAACTTATGGGAAGTTCTAATCTGCCACATAAGGTCATTATGAGTTGGAACCAACTTGATGGCACTCAATAACAATAACAATGTGCCATAATAGGCAGAAAATGGAATTAAAGGAAAAAATGCCTGTATAATAAACCCCAATACATTACATGTAAGACCTACATTGGGAAAACTTATAATACTTTATTGAAAGATATTAAAGATATAAGTAAATGAGTGAGTATGCCATGTTCTTGTATTGGAATATTTGTCATAAAAATGTCACTTTCCCCCAACTTGATCTGTAGAATCAGTGCAATCTCAGTCAGGATCACAGCTTTTCAATTAACATCCACTTCTAAAGTAGGAATATGGAGGTTCAAAAGGCTCTTGCTGGAAGAACAAGGTAAGAGAACTTGCCCAACCAGATATCAAGGTTTCTTATAAAACTAAGTAACATTTTAATAAATGGTTTTGAGCCAATTCATTGTCTATATTAAATATAAACAAAGGATTGGATTCTTACATCATACACAAAAGCTCATGCATAATAGATCAAAGACCTAAAAAGTCAAAAGTAATTTTATAGAGCTTTAAGCTTCTAACATTTGGAAGATATTTTTATGACTTCAGGGTAAGAAAGACACATGAAAAAAACGCTAGCTTTCAAGGCATACTTCTACTCTCATTTCACATCTAATGATAACATGGTGAGATTCCAAAGACCAGGGGGAAATCAGTGTTGTGTGAAAATGGAGGATGACTACATTATTACATTAACAACCAAATTACATCATTATGTAACTGCCAGATGATATCAATACATAACCCCAAACCACTGAGACTCATGGCCTAGCCAAGTTGACCTTAAATATCGTAGCCAGCGTTACTCTCACCTGGCCCGTTGGAGTTTGTTACTGCTTGAGGTATGTAGTTCATGAGCACAATAGACAGTAGATTTCTCTTTTACTCTTGTCACAAGTGCAAAATGATACTATCCTTGATAAATGAGGAGTTGTTAAGTGCCATCGAGTTGATTCCAACTCATAGTGACACTGTATAGGTTTTTTGAGGCTGTAAGTTTCTGTGGTAGCAGAAATCTTCCTCTTTTTCCTATGGGATGGATGATGGACTTGAACCATCAACTTTGAGGTTCATAGCTCAGTGCTTATTCTACAAAGCCACCACATTCCACAAGTGAGGAGTTGTTGTTATATGCTGTGGAGTCTGTTCTGACTCATAACGACCCTGTACAGGGTTTCTGAGGCTATAAATCTTTACGGGAGCAGAAAGCCTCATCTTTCGCCTGCGGAACAGCTGGTAGTTTTGAACTGCTGACCTTTGTGGTTCAAAGCCCGATTCGTAACCACTACGCTGCCAGAGCTCCTAAGCGAAGAGTAGGTGTATGTAAAAATTAAGGTTTTTTAAAAATCAAAATATATTGTTGTTGTTGTTGTTAGGTGCCGTCGAGTCGGTTCCGACCCATAGCGACCCTGTACCGGGTTTCCGAGGGTGTAAATCCTTAAGGGAGTAGAAAGCCTCATCTTTCTCCCGCGGAGCGGCTGGTAGTTTCGAACCACTGACCTTAAGGTTCGCAGCCCGATTCGTAACCACTAATTAGGAAAGTAAAAGTGGGAAAATGTTTTTGTAAAAAAAAATAAATAAAATTGTTAGTTAGAGAATAGGTAAAAAACAAGTACTGAACAGTGGAGATGTCCATGTGGCCCAGAAGCATACAAAATGATGTACAACCCCATTAGTAAGGCGGGGAAAGCAAATTAAAACTACAATGAAAATTGTTGTCTTCTAGATTGGCAAAATTTAGAAAGCCTGAAGATTTGAATTGTTGGTATTGGTAATGTGGAATAATAGGACTATCATTATGAGGAAGTAACAGTTTGAAGTTTAAAGAACTTCAAAGTAAAATTGAAGATGTCTATGAGCCACCACTCAGCAATGTGTTCCCTTAGTGCATGCCATGTAGTATTGTGTGCTTATGTGAACCAGGACTTTGAAACATCATTGTTCATTAAGACCAAAACCGTAAATAATCATAAGTGTCCATTAACAAAGAAATGAATAACCAAATTGTCATAAGTTTATTCGATGGAATATTAATCAGCATCAGAAGTGAATTAATTCCAGCTATAAGGAATAGCAGCAGTGGGGTCAGTCGTAGCAACGATTGTGAGGTTGGCTCAGATCAGGCAGTGTTTTGTTCTGTTGTGAATAATATAATGATGCCATATTAAGTAAATGAAGCAAAGTTACATAATAATACAGTATGATTATATATCAAATTCAAAAATAAGCAAAATTATATTGTTTGTTGTTGTTAAGTGCCATTGGATTGGTTCCAACCCATAGTGATCCTGTGTAGGGTTTCTGAGGAGCGGTTGGTGAACTTGAACTGTCAACCTTGTGGTTCAAACTGACTTTGCAGTCCAGTGCAAACTGCATTTACAGCGCCACATAAAGAATCACAGAAGTCAGAATAGTCAAACTATCATTCATGGGAGTCCTGGTGTGGCGCTGTTGGATAAGCACTGAACTGCTAATCACAAGATCAGCAATTCAAACTTACCAGATCTGTTTTGGAAGAAGTGCAGCCAGAGTGCTCCTTGTAGGCCAAGATGGCTAAACTTCGTCTCTCTTACTTTGGACATATTGTCCGGAGAGAACAGTCGCTGGAGAAGGATGTCATGTTGGGTAAGGTGGAGGGTCAGAGAAAAAGGGGAA